CAAACAAGAGTCTAGTAAACATCCCGGGTATGATAACATTTGAAACACGAAATCATAAATAAATTTAATAAATAATCATAAAAAATAATGATAATACATTTAATTCAATAATGTAATCAAACCAAAAACACTGAAATTTGAAATATAGCGCCAAGTTCGCACATCGCTGAGCAAAGTCGCAGAATCATTTCCAGTGTCTGATGAGGAATTTCCCCCACGAATCATTATCACTCAATTCTGCAAGTGGTTCTGATTTACTATCGCTGTTCTCTAGCCGGTCTAAAACCGCTTTTGACCTAAAGGGACGCTTTTTGGACGCCATGGACGTTTCTCAGTTTCCAGGCAGAAAGAACAGTAAAAATGCAGGCAGGGCGCGGACAAAGCACTCGGGACAAAATGTATGTGAAATGGTTTGATACAGGAATGTTATACTATGTGAGTGTTTTAGTGAATGTCACTTTTTCACATTTTTTAAATTTCCCGCCAGTTCTGGCCCCCGTACGTCCCGACGTCGCAGGGAACGGAACCCAGAAGACAGATGCCGGCATCGGCCGGAGGACATTGCAGGGGACACTGCAGGGGGGACATCGCGGGGAGCGCAGGACAAGGTAAGTGAAGACGAGATCCCGGAGCAACGCTGCAGGGTATTCCCGAGTGTAGCTTGAGGTTACCGCTTGCGGTGCTGAAACTTTAGCCCGAGCTACACTCGGGAATACCTCCAAGGGGGTTAAAATGCACCTGTAAAGAAAAGAGTTTAGTATATTACTTCACACCAGTCTTCTGCTTGTGGCACCTGGGTGGGGATGGTGTCACACTCCTTCAGGCGAGATCCTGGGGAATACAGAGCAGCTGCAATCTTACAAGAAGTTGCTCTTGCAATGGACTGGGGTGTCTTCTAAACAAGATTTTGCCAGTTCTGCATCCCCCGGGAATCTTTCCAGAAGTTGGGGAAAGAGAAGGAGAACTGTAACTTATTTCTTTATAGGTACATTTCACACTTACTAGCAGTAGGTGATCTGCAGAGGGAGAGGGTCTGCTTTAAGAATTCCAGGCTTGCTTGCACGCAGGATTAACAACACATGTACATACAAGAAGCATTTAGTAACATGTGCAGCGTGCTTGCCTTTAGAAGCTGTTGACCACAAAGCATTTGTATGATCACCGAGACTTGTCAACACCAATGAAGGTTATATGTTCAACTTACATTATAGAGCTGAGCTGCGGGTACAGACGTCTGCTTTCATTGAAGAGAGTCCTGAAATGACACAAAGATACGTGAAAAGGAATTCACATTTTTTGACTGACAAATTTACTAATCAGGTAAAGGGGATATACAAAGTAAAAATACACAACCCTTTTTATTATGGCCCAAACACCATCCACCAACTGAATCCAATAGGACATCAGTATAGATTTATCGAAGCAAGTGGTCTCCAAAGTGCAGCCCAGGGGGTGGAGCTTTGGAGTGACGTCACCACTTTTGATGGTGCCGGCATCTCCGGCTTTTGATGCGGTTTTATCGGTTTTTGTGGCCTATGCTAGTGTTAGCTTGTGACACTTAAAAGCTTTTTATCCAAGCAACTCACATTTTTAACAAAAACCTGCTATACAGTATCACACTATTTCCTGCTCTGTTCTTTTCCTTTGAGCGTATATGGTATATGAAGATCCATACAGAAGAAGAAACATCTTCTGTTGCCGGTCATTAGTCTGCAGACCATTACTCCCAGAGCCAACATGCGATTTGCTAGTTTATAATTTTACTAGTAATTTGCTCTGGCGAGTTTATTCAATTCTATTGGTGATGGAGTCTTACACAATTGGTGGTAGATATTCAACATTATGAAGCTTTTGAATTGAAAAGTATAAAAGACATTTTTTTTTAATCGTTTATTGAAAATTTAGTGGTTTTGAGTATTTATATATTTTTTATGAATATTTACACAACCTTTTTTGGTTTATGTATCACTGTCACAAAAATGTTTGTTTAATTAGCGCACCTTTTCACTTTGATTTTCAGGGGCTGGATGTGGTTAAAGTTGCCACCTCACTCCTTTAAAACCAAACACATATCACACAGATTTTGAGGCCAATTTAATGCAGATAAGGCGCTAAGCGAGTATAATTACCACCTTAATAAGCAACAGAACCTGTGTCATTAATATGTGTTTGTTTTAAAGGGATGAGGTGACAACCCTAGATTTGCCAGTTTTCTTTCAATCAATCAATAAGCTCCTATACTTCCACCCTCACCAAAAAGTCACAACTTTCTCCCTAGAAAGTATACAATCCAACAAATCCTTTTCGTGATAAACATATAAATCCCCCAAAACCAAAATTAAAATCTACTAATATAATCAATTTTATACAATCAAAAATAAATATTTATCACTTCAACTAAAAATTGTGTTTAAATAAATTCACTCCCAATTAAATAAAAATAAAATAAATAATAAATAAAATATAAAAAATGTAAAAGTTCCAAATTTTTCACTTCAATCCAGTTAAGCGGAAATTGATTCTAAATATTCCATGATAACCTCAAAAAAAAGAAAAAAAGAAAATCCATAGTGTATTATCTTTTAATATATATGTGTATATATGTGAAGTCCGGAAGTAACGAAACGCATTAGGGAGTGACGTCAACACGCACGCACGCCAACCGGAAGTGTCGCCGTGGCCATTTTGTTGGTTGGAAACATGTGTTTTCAACCTAAAGTTTGAGAGAGCAATGTTGGAAGCTGGATTTCCCTGTTTTTATGTAAGTTACTATTAAATTTGTTCCTTTATTATGGATCCTGCCTAAGAGCCTTTTATGTTTCTATGAGGAGTTGGGAGGAATACCCCTGGAAATGAAGGATTGAGAGATACGGATTCCCTATGTCAGCTCATGCTTGAAAATTACTGGAAGAGGGTAATAGTACCTGGTATCACTTTTGGCTGGAGTTTAGAGGGTACTAGTACCTAGTATCACTATTCACAAGTGGTTGGAGTGATCATTTTTTTTTTTTTACGTTTTGGGTTTTATTTGTTTATTTATTTTTTATTTTTGATTGATATAGTGGGAGAATAAGTATATATTTATTTTATCTGCACAAGTTTTTTAAGAGTGATTTTGTGTTTTGCACAGAGTAAAGTACACATATATATTAAAAGATAATACACTATGGATTTTCTTTTTTTTTTTTCAGGTTATCATGGAATATTTAGAATCAATTTCCGCTTAACTGGATTGAAGTGAAAAATTTGGAACTTGGATTTTGGACACATTGGGATTTTTTTACATTTTTTATATTTTATTTATTTTATTTTATTTTTATTTAATTGGGAGTGAATTTATTTAAACACAATTTTGAAGTGATAAATATTTATTTTGATTGTATAAAATTGAATATATTAGTAAATTTTAATTTTGGTTTTTGGGGGATTTATATGTTTATCACGAAAAGGATTTGTTGGATTGCCAGTTTTCTTGCTTACATACGGCCCTTGGGGCATTATCCCCCCCCCCTCCACTGTCAGCCACAGTGAGGTATAGCTGCTGACACTGACAAGAGCAGACAGCGGTGACAGTCACTGCTCTCTGCTCAGAGTGGCAGGGAGTACTGAGCGGTCAGTGATGTTCAAACCCTTAGAGCCTACGAGAGACAGAGACAACATCAGACCGATGCTGCATCCACCTAGAAAAGTATAAATTAAAAAAAAAATAAAACCCCATACTTCTCTTTTAACCACTTGCCCTCCAGAGTATTCCAACCCTCCCCCCCTTCCTGACCAGGCCATTTTTTTGCAATACAGCACTGCATTACTTTAACTGACAATTGCGCGGTCAGGCACCGCTGCACCAAAATTAAATTTATGTAGTTTTATTTTTATTTTTTTTTTTTTTTTATTTTTTTTTTTTTTTTTTTTTTTTTTTTTTTTTTTTTTTTTTTTCCCCACGAATTGAGCTTTCTTTCAGTGGTATTTGATCGCCTGTGCTATTTTTTATATTTTTTTGTGCTATAAAAAAAAAAAAAAAAAAATACCGACACAAAGCACAATGTATTTTTACTATTATATATATTATATATATATTTTTATTATATATATATATATATATATATATTTATATATACACACACACACTTTTTTTTTTTTGTTTTATACATATATATACGCACACAATATACATATACATACTTATATAGCTATATATATATATATATACATACATACACACACACATTTTTATATATACACACACACACATCTACATATACATATATATATATATATATATATATATATATATATTTATATATATTTACACACACACAACACAACACACACACACACACACACACACACACACATTACACACACACACACACACTAGTAATGGCGGCGATCAGTGACTTGTAGTGGGACTGCGGCGGGCCATTCAGACACTGGTGGGAACTGACTGTCACTGACATCCTCAGAGACGCCAATAGAGTGATCAGTGCTAATAAAAAGCACTGAGACTGTATTAATGGCACTGGGCAGGAAGGGGTTAACATCTGGGGCAATCAAAGGGTTAACAGAGGGAATATGATCACTTTACAGGGAAAAAAAAAAAAGGGGGGGGGGGGGGGGGGGGAAGGTGTTTCTGTTTGTGCATGTATGTGTGTATATTACACACATACAAATACGCACACAAATGTTTTGCCTTTCATTTCAATTTTAACCTGAATGAGTTGTCTTACAGATTGAGGGTTTACATTTACTTTAATTCTTTATGAAGTGGCCGTGATGAAAGAAATAAATGTATCCTGTATTTTTCACATACCGGCCTGCATCCAGCCTCGAGGCCAGATAGGTTTCACCTCAGTATCCAGAAAAGACTTGAAATACTCTTCCAGGCTCAGCATACCACCACTGCCTTCTGGTTCAAACATGTCCATCTTTATACGGACAAGCTGGCTCAAGAGCTGCCTGTAGAGAGAAAAGACAGGAGGCAGTGAAACAGCTGCACACTTTTGCTACACAACTTGAAGGCCAGCTTGAACTTTCATTTCTTTAGTTCTGTACCCCCAGCTTGTCATGATCCATGACTGAATTTTGCTCGGAAATGCCCTAAAATATTTTTCTTTGTAAAAAGTCGTCTTCATGACGTCACAGTCCATAAAGACAGTGTGACCAGTTTGGTGTAGAAGAACTTAATTGTCTGCACAGAGCCCTGACCTCAACCCTACTGAATTGGAAGGTCGAGGGCAAATCAGCTCTTCTCATCCAACATCAATACTTGACCTCACAAATGCTTTTTTGGTGAAATGGGTACAAAATTCCAACAGACACTCAAAAATCTTCTGGAAAGCCTTCCCAGAGGAGAGGCAGCTGATATAGTAGCAAGTGGGGCAACTCCATGTTAATTACCATGGCTGTAGAATGGGTTGTTTCAGCTAATGTAGTTGTGATGGCCAGGTGTCCAATCTTTGTCTTATAGTGTCTATGAAGAATAACCTTGGACCCCTTTATAGGTCCTCCTTGCTCACCCATTCAGCACAGGTAGAAGCTATGGGAGCTTTACTATCACCACCAAATAAATCCAATCAGTTCTGCCCGGGGTTTTTAAAATCCCCACCTGATCTCCTCCGTCCACTGGAACTTCTTTCGAGGCCCAGCAGTTTTCTTGTTGCCCTTGTCTTCTTTCCTCCTCCTCTTCTGAATGGGCCTTCTGATCCTTGTCATCTGACGCCATTCTGTGGAATATAAAAACAGATCAAGGAGGGAACACTCACAACATCACAACAATTTTCTCATACCTTTCCAAACCTTATCAACACAATGCACATAACCTTCGTCATGCCTTAGGCTGGCCATAGACGGGACGTTTATCGGCCAAATTGTCGGCCGATAAACAAAAAATTGGTTGTTGCCAATGGTGCCACCATTGTGCTTGAAAAACATTTTTTTTTTCGTGGATTTTCCAGCATGACCGATAAAAAATAAACGAGAAGATCCACAAAAAAACGGCCGAGGGACTGGCCCCACTAATGGCGTGAATATTTTTTTTTTTTTTCGTGCGGACGAAAATTCGGCCGATAAACGACCCATCTATGGCCCTTGTCAATCTGGCTAAAAGTGAAATGCTTTTTGCAGGGGATGCAAGGATGCCCAAAATATGATTTGTATCTTAGTGAAGACTTATTGGAAAGTCAGTGAGCCGAGAGAGAGAGAGGAATGTGTGACACCTCCAGGTTTCCATATTGCATTTTCAGAAATGTACAGCACTTAAGAATGAAATGGAAAGGTAATTAGATTGTAAGCTCTAATGAGCAGGGCCCTCCGAATCCTCCTGTATTCATTTGTATTGTAATTGTACTGTATGCTCTTGTGTTGTGTAAAGTGTTGGCACTATATAAAACCTGAATAATAATAATAATTAAAAAAATATATTTTATTGCAATATGTCTTGTGTTGCAATTGTATATGCAGTATTTTTTTTCTTTGCAATATGTTTTCCCCTGAAAGTGGTGCTACACTTTACAGTTTGCTATTTTGTAGTCACCATTAGGTAAACACCTGATGAGTATCTGTATTTTATAAAAATTTGTGAACCTCATGATTTCTACAACTGTTGCACAACTACTGGAGACTATGGGGTTAATTTACTAAAGGCAGATATAGACTGTGCACTTTGTAAAGTGCAGTTTCACTCTGTAAGTGCAGTTGCTTCAGAGCTTAGTAAATGAGCAGAAACTCTGCTGACTTCCATCATCCAACCATGTGCAAGCAAAAAAAAAAACAGGTTTTTTTTTTGTTTTTTTTTTTTTTATTATTTCCTTGCCTGTGATTGGGTATTCTTTGCAAAGTGGAGCTTTATATAATTTACTAAGCTCTGGAGAAACTGCACTTTTTTTTCCTTTAGTAAATCAACCTCTATGTTTTAACAGTGTGCCACAACTTTATTTAAGTCACATGGTCATGTTTTGTGATTGAAATGGATTATATTTATTATAATTGTTTATTTTTCCTTTGTATTTCTCTATAAAAAAGCATTAAAAAACCCCCAAAAATATGCGATTCTAAATTTGACCCGCTTTCCCGCCACCCTATAGCAGAAGTACTGCTACAGGGCTGTGCAAAATCACTTATATATACACATGATTATGCATTTCTAGGTAGGCCATTATCGGCCTCACCTGTTGATCACCGGGTCCCGGCTGGTGATTCCCTCCGGCACCCGGCGATTGCCGAGTTTCACTGACGGGGAGAGGTCTGTATGTAAACAATACAGATCTCTCCCCCGTCAGCTCCAGTACACTAGCAGAGCAATACAAAGCAAAGTGCTGACACAGTGAAACACATACACAGCACAGTTCGTAAAACAGCACACAGTTCACCCTTTGATCGCCCCAGATGTTAACCCCTTCCTGTCCAGTGCCATTAGTACAGTGTCAGTGCTTTTTATTAGCCCTGATCACAGTATTAGTGTCATTGGGGATGTTGGTAACAATCAGTTTTCCCCCAGTGTCAGAATGCCCACCGCAGTCCTGCTACAAGTCACGGATCGCAGCCATTACTAGTGTGTGTGTGTGTGTATTATATACACATATAAAAAATTCCAATACATATACACTGCTATTTGTAGATGCTATAACTTTCTAAACCAATTAATTTATACATATTGGGATTTTTGTTAGCAGAGACATGCAGCAGAATACAATTCAGCCTAAAATTTATGAAGACATTAGATTTTTTTTTTTTTTTTTTTTTTTTTTACTGGACATAATAGCAAAAAGTAAAAAAAATAGTTTTTTTTTCAAAATTGTCGTCAGTCTTTTTTTTGTTTAGAGCAAAAAAAAAAAAACAAAAAAAAAACAAACAAACACACAGGTGATCAAATACCACCGAAAGAAAGCTCTATTTGTGGGGGGGGGGGGGGGGGGGGGGGGGAGACAAAAAAAAAAGACAAATTTCATTTGGGTGCAGCGTTGCATGACCGCGCAATTGTCAAGTAAATTAACGTAGCACCGTGTCACAAAAAATGGCCTGGTCAGAAAGGGTGAAGGGGGGGGGGGGGGGGGGGGGGGGGGGAATCCTCTGAAGGACAAGTGGTTAAAGTTCATCATGCATTTAACCCACTAAGAGAACTGCACTGAACATCTCACTTGCTGCTCTACCTGCTGAGGAAACAGTGGTATAGGGACAAAATTAAAAGAGTGGGCTCCTTTGAATCTCAATGGTTGGATTTCAGCACTCTAATGCTTGGTACACACAGAGTTCTTTTTCTTCGTTCAGCCTGTTGGGTTGAATGAAAAAAAAAAAAAAAAAAACAACAAAAAACTGAGCTGTCGCCATAATAAGTAAAGATAGTGCGGTGTCCTCCCCTGCTGAGCTATTGTGCTCTGACATGGGGACTGCCCTACCACCGTCCCCCCTCCTCTCAGCCAGAACACACTGATCAGCGCTCATAGCCATTGGCTGCAGGCGCTGATCGGATGGTTTTCCAGCATGCCCGTTTGATCAAAGCCTGTCATTAGACTGGATTCTATCGGACAATCTGCTATACTCACGGGCCTGAATGTTAGCCGGTTTCAGTTGAACCAGCAGATACTCAGCCCATGTGTACCAGACTTAAGCAATGTAAACAATAGCAATATGGAAATCCCTAAGTTACACACATGGGAGTTGTTGATGAGTGGAGCTGAGATTGTGACACAGAAGGATTAAATTAATCTACACAGTAAAATCCCAATAAATGACTCAAAACTAGTATTTCTGCTGTACATGGATTATAGCAGGCTGAATCACCCGATGAATATTCAAAGATTAAGTTCACCTTTTTAGAATAACTAAAATGAACATATTTTTTGCAAAAAAAAAAAAAAAAAAAAAAATGCATTATTTTTTTACTGCAGGAGCCTGGAAAGCATTGCAACCATGGTCAAAGGATCAGGGGTGCAATTTCAGGCATCCGCAGACAACCCTGCAGCTTTCAGCCTGTACCCCCATTTGGGCTGTCAGTTTGAAAGCTGCAGGGCTTGTGAACTATAGGAGCACTCATCTGCTCCTTCGCAATTCATTCAGAACTACAAGCCATCTGCTGCAGTGATGATGGTACTTGTAGTTCATTCCTTCACAGGAAACTGTGAATGAATGACGTGGCTCTGTGAGTGGAGCCTCGCACTATCACACTGTTTTTGTATTGTGACAGTGGTGTGGCGAGAGGATCCGCTACCCATTGGCATACTGAAGGGAGGACAAGGGAGAGGCAGCAGAAGCTGGAACATGCAATATGTTCCAAAAGGTGAACGTATCCTTTATAAAACTGGTCTCCAATCTGATGGCCTTCTGTACTTGCTCTGCGGCCTTTTGCAGACCCCGGCAATTATTGGTGGAAGCATTCATTTGTAAAGAGGCTATAATGAAAGTGATCCAGGAGTCTCATGTAGCACATCCCCAGACTCTCACCATCTGCCATAGTCTTCAGTCTCCAAGACTGCACTCTCTGGTCAATTCCTGTAGTATGTCTGAAGTCTGAAAGTATTCTGTCATATACTGAAAAATATGTTCACCCCTTTAGAGCCACAGTTGAGGCCCCCTACCCCTTGTAAATTGACAACCACTGATTTAAGCACTATCAAAAGAACTTGCCAGTGACATTTGCAGGCAAAATCAGTAATTTTTAGATGGACTTTACTTCTGGAAATACTATTAACAAATACAAAAAATTAACTATGGAAGGGCTTTAACCGCCTCCCATATACGTTAATGACAGGCGGGCGGTGGTTCTTTCGTTCTGGGAGGACGTCATATGACGTGCTCCCACTCTAACTACGCATGCACGCCGCCGGGGGGGGGGGTGCAGTGCGACAATCAGTGGTGCGCTCTGTCCATGGGACACAGCGGATCACCGATCAGAGTAAAGAGCCCATGACACAGGCTCTGTCATGGGATCAAATGTGTCCAATCACAGGTGACTGCATGCAAACAAGGAAATGCTGGTTATCGCAGCGTGTGAGAGCCGATAAGCGGCATTCCTCAGAGGGGACATCTACATGATCATCAGGGCACTGATGATCAGTGTACCCCCCATCAGTACCACCTGTCAGTGCCCATCAATGCCACCTGTCAGTACCTACCAGTGCACATCAATGCCACATATCAGTGCCCACCAGAGCTGCCTTTCAGTGCCAACTACCAGTGCCCGCCAGAGCTGCCTTTCAGTGCCAACTACCAGTGCCCGCCAGAGCTGCCTATCAGTGCCAACTACCAGTGCCCGCCAGAGCTGCCTATCAGTGCCAACTACCAGTGCCCGCCAGAGCTGCCTATCAGTGCCAACTACCAGTGCCCGCCAGAGCTGCCTTTCAGTGCCAACTACCAGTGCCCGCCAGAGCTGCCTATCAGTGCCAACTACCAGTGCCCGGCAGTGCGTCGCCTATCAGTGCCCGGCAGTGCGTCGCCTATCAGTGCCCGGCAGTGCGTCGCGTCGCTATCAGTGCCCCGGCAGTGCGTCGCCTATCAGTGCCCGGCAGTGCCATATATGAGTGATGCCTTTCATGCCCACAAGTGATGCCTGTCAAGGCCCATCAGTGCCACCTACCAGTGCCTCCTCAACAGTGCAGCCTATCAGTGCCCATCACTGCAGCCTCATTAGCACACATCAGTGAATGAGAAAAATAACTTATTTACGAAATTTTATAACAGAAACTAAGTAAAAAAAAAAAAAAAAAAAAACTTAATTTTTTTCAAAATTCAGTCTTTTTTTTTTTTTGCTAAAAGAAAAAAACACCCAGAGGTGATTAAATACCACCAAAAGAAAGCTCGGTCTCACAAAAATGCTAAAAAATTTTGTTTGGGTACAGTGTTCCATGACCGCGCAATTGTCATCCAAAGTGCGACAGCGCTGAAAGCTGAAAATTGGCCTGGGCAGGAAGGGGGTAGACGTGCCCGGTAAGCAAGGGGTTAAAGAAGTTGTAAAGGGTATATTTTAATTTAAAAAATAACACATGGTATACTCACCTGCTCTGTGCAATGGTATTGCACAGAGCAAACCAGAACCTCCTCCTCTGGGGTCCCCTGCCAGTGCTCTTAGCAGCTCCTCTTCTCTGTGTGCCACCATAGGCACACCTGTGGTCTCACTCCAAAGCACGGCTGTGTGCATCCATTGACACACAGTGCAGCTCAAAACCACCCCCTCCTTACAGGATTTGATTCACAGCAGCAGGAGCCAATTGCTTTTGCAGCTGACCTTGTTTTTACCAGTCAAAAAGAATGCAGGAGTGATATGGAAGGCAGAAAAGCTGCCTAATTACCACTTTTAGGTCAGGTTTTTTATAGTTTCTCAGCGGATCACACTCTCCCACAATTATAGTGGGCTTTGCTACTGTAATTTCTACTTTCTCCTGCGAAAAGTCTGATTATGTTTTTCATTTCAATTTGATACCTTGCCAATTGTCTATGTAATGCAATCCATCTGCGTATGCTATATTGCAGAGGCCTTGACTTATCTAGGTCTTTGAGTGAAAATTTACAACATAGGTGTATGCCTTTATTAGCAAAGATGTTGTTGTTACTAAAACGTGGGGTTTTTGCCCTCCCAACATTTGCACGTTTTACTAAGGACACAGTGGGGCACCTCCTATTAAATGATCTATTTATCTAAAGTTTGTCACTGGTTTTCAAAGGAAGATTTGGGGTTTTTGCCCTACATTTGTTAAGGACACCTGCATCACATTTATCTGTGTTTCTGTAAAGGAACCTGTCACATCTTGTACTGGTTTCTTACTTGGCATATTTGGCTTCATTGTATATTTTAAACTCTTTGTTGTACTTGTTGATCTGTTCTGGCATTGCCCGCAACACAGCTTCCTTCAGCTTCCGTAACGGCTCTTGCAACCGACCGCCCTGCTGAGAAAAAAAGGACAGAAATTTCCAGTACTAAAAAAGGTAACTTTGTAATTTTTACCAGTTTTCTCAGATTTTCTACAACCAAACCCCCCCCCCCCCCTCCAGTCTTTGGATTTAATTAAAATCAGAGACTTTCCCTGCCTGGAGAAATGCATCATCAGTGTGATCTGTATGTGTGCTGCCATTCATTTTTAATTACAATTTGCATTGCAGTGAAAATACTGCAAGAGCAATTTCTTCTTCATTATTTACACTGGTTGCTCAGATCATGGTATAGTCCAAGCATTATCACAGCACAGTATGCAGCGAGTCGGCCCTTACTGTACTGAGTGCTGTTAATCAGTTCATAAAGTCATACGACTGCGTTGTAACAAATAGAATTTTCCACTCTTCCTCCTCCTTCCCCCTGCTCTGCAACATTGGTGGGGGCCAGGGTTACCTGGATTTCTGGCTTCCACTTCCACTCGGATCACCTAAATTATCCAACCGGAAGTTTCCCCCCCTGCATGCAGCCTTCTGGGACAAAATTACAGGTCCCAGAAGACTGTGGGACCATTCAGATAGCGCAGCGCACCTCGCACGTGCCCAGTGTTAATGTAGCTGCTGACCGATCTTTTGTCGACGCCAGAATCGTAACTGCGGGCAGCTGGCTGGGTCTCCTTGCGACCCACAGGTACGATTCTGCAACAGAAGACCGATGCAGAAATTGGCTCGGGTGAGGGCAGCACTAGATTTCTGGACAGGTGAGTGTCTGTTTAGTTAAAGTCAGCAGCAGGGGCGGACTGATCATCTGGAAACTCGGGCACTGCCCGAGGGCCTGGGGTCAGTAGGGCCCCATGAGATGCCCCTGGTACCTTTTCATAGGCTTTTTTGAGTTTGGGCAAGGACACAGGGGCCCCATGATCCCCTATTGCCGGGGACCCCATGAGTTGTCAGTCCGCCCCTGGTCAGCAGCTACAGTTTTTGAAGCTATACGGTTTAAATTTTCACACATATGACTGAAGCTCCTTTTTAACTTCCATATTACTGAATGAATACAAAGCTATTTTACAGCCATCGAAAAAAATGGATCTTAAATATGGATGGACAGGTTTATACAACCTGCATAATAAATGCAACCTCCAATTAGCTGGATTACTAAATCTACAAACAAATATGGAAATGGACAAGAGAAAATGTTCAGCTTGCTGTGATAGGTTCTGCACAATTCTGTCACTCTGACTGGACTGGCAATGATGGTGGTAGTTACCTGTTTGTGTAGGTAGAGGCGGCTGGCCCATTTCACAAGTGTGTCTTTGCTGCAAGGGAGGACAGATGACAGGTGGGTAAAGACCGCAGAGCGAAGAGCAGGGCTGAGGTCCCGAGACAACAGGTAAATGCTACAGAGACAAATAGAGGGCATATGACTTGAGTCATAACTAATGATGGGAGAAAAGAAAATAGAGAAGAGAGGGGAACGCAAAAAGGGATAAGAGAGGGGAACGCAAAAAGGGATAAGAGAGGGGAACGCAAAAAGGGATAAGAGAGGGGAACGCAAAAAGGGATAAGAGAGGGGAACGCAAAAAGGGATAAGAGAGGGAAAAGCAAAAAAGGGATAAGAGAGGGGAAAGCAAAAAGGGATAAGAGAGGGGAACGCAAAAAGGGATAAGAGAGGGGAAAGCAAAAAGGGATAAGAGAGGGGGAAGCAAAAAGGGATAAGAGTGGGGAAAAGCAAAAGGGATAAGAGTGGGGAAAAGCAAAGGGATAAGAGTGGGGAAAAGCAAAGGGATAAGAGTGGGGAAAAGCAAAGGGATAAGAGAGGGGAAAAGCAAAGGGATAAGAGAAGGGAAAAGCAAAGGGAGGATAAGAGAGGGGAAGCAAAGGGATAAGAGGGGAAGCAAAGGGATAAGAGTGGGGAAGCAAAGGGATAAGAGAGGGGAAGCAAAGGGATAAGAGAGGGGAAGCAAAGGGATACGAGAGGGGAAGCAAAGGGATAAGAGAGGGGAAAGCAAAGGGATAAGAGAGGGGAAAAGCAAAGGGATAAGAGAGGGGAAAGCAAAAGGGATAAGAGAGGGGAAAGCAAAAGGGATAAGAGAGGGGAAAGCAAAAGGGATAAGAGAGGGGAAGCAAAGAGAGAAGAGAAGGGAAGCAAAGAGAGAAGCAAAGAAGAAAAAAAAAAAAAAAGAAATGAGAGAAGAGTAAGAAGTGAAAAAAGGATGAGCAGGAAAGGATAATTAACATTCAGTTTTACATTGCTTTCTATTGCACTGGGAAGACTTCCTGTCTCAGCGACAACATAGGGAAAAAAAAAAAAAAAAAAAAAAAAAAAAAAGGGACGGACAGACAGCAATGAAAACCTGGCATATGTTGTAACCCTTCACCACTCTAGTATATATATTTTATGGTCTTTGTTCTCACAGCAGAGATCAGGCATTTGCATGCCCCAGCTGCACAACAAAGTGTAATTAAACCTCAAACAAGTGGTGTGATTGAGGACACAAGCAGAAAAACTGTATCGGTCACCAGCTTGCTGAGGTTTTAACTTGAAACAGACTTTACTGAACAAGTCATATTTGTGGGTGGGTCCATACCAAAAATCATGTTAATGAAGGGGACCCTGTGTGGCCCTGAAACATGGCTTGCAGATATGACGATTTGTTCAATAAAATTCTGCTAGCCCCCTTGTTTCCATTATTGCCGCGCCACGTTTGCGGTGTTCCCCCAAACAGCGGACAGAGAAAATATTTTCAGAGGTTTGCAGACACTTCCACTGCTGACTCGTCCCATCTGTGGCACAGACAGGGAAAGAAATCAATTGCCTAGCAAAGGAAGATGATACTCACTCCAAAAGTGCATTATTCATTTTCCCGGTAAACAATATAGTTTTCTTGTCGCCCTCCGATGCTCGCACGGCCTGAAACAAGATTAACAGCAACGGCTTGAAATGTAACAAGTCAACAAACACCATCAAGTGCTACTCAAATCTAAAGATCAAACAACATACAAATCCATTTTAGAGTAGAGATATTTATGAAAACCACAATCATATAAAAAAAATAAATTTCAGGTAAATGTGGACAGTGCATACCAGTGTCAGCTCTTTAATCTTCACTTCAAGAGCCATTGGCAGGCCATCAGGCATAGACGGTGGTTTCTTAAACCCTTCTGGAGGTGCCATCACTGAGCTGCCCACCCCTTTCTCCGGTGGAGGGTCAAGCAAGTTATCCAAGTCTTTGTCGCTTAGTGCATCGATGGCGCTGGCTGCTTGGAGGAGCTCCGTCTCTGACACTATGGTGGAAAGTAGCGGGTCTGGAGCCGGCTCAGCCTCTCGAGGTGGAGGAGGGGGCAGGCTTGGAGCTGTAGAGGACAGGGAGGAAGGCTTTGGCGCCATGCTGATGGTAGCAGCCATGGGTTTGTTTTTTGCTGCTTCCTTCTCCCGCTCGAACCTGGCCAGCATCTCTTTTACATCAACGGTTGATTTTTTCTTCTTTTTGTCCTTGGCTCCATTTAGAGCTGTGAAACTAAACCAGATGCAGAGCTTGGTGTTCATAAACAATCATTAGTATAGAATGCTACAAAAGTTACATTTTCTCTGTATTGTGATGCAAGTCTGAGTCACCACAACAGGACCCCTTTATCAAGATGACCTATACCAGGGGTGCTCAAACCTGTTGTGGCCCTCAGAGCCCTCCACCTCAAAACAGAATGCAGGACGTTTGGTGCACTTTCAGAAAAGCGCATCACACCAGCCAGATATATAACAGATGTCTATGGCCAAGTGCAGCTAACCTGCAGCAAAGCCGCAGGTGCGCTGCGCTTCACTTGGGGTTGTGGGCAAACCGCAGCGCATTACTGTGAAAGCAGCCTTATAGTGGGCTCAGGACAGCAAGGGCAAGTTTACATTTTCAGTTTGGGAGGCGGTAAAACCCCATAGTTGGGACACCCCTCCAAGCACCAGTGTAGCGTTAAGGGTCGCAATGCTCCAGGGGGCTCATATGGCCTCCCTGTTGTATTCTGTTTTACACTTGGACAGGAGGGGGGCGGCATATACAGAAACCAGTCCTCTCCATTTCCCTCCTGCAACCGCTGAAAGACGGCTTCTCTCCTTACCGCCAGCATTGGGCGGGCTGCAGGAGGAAAATGTTCATTATGATTTTCAAAATATAAAATTCCAAATTTGGAACCATTTCATTGTGGCCCACGACTGGATACCAGATCACTTAAGCAGACCTCACTCTTCAAAAGGTTTGAGCACACCCTGACCTACACCATCTAGTGCAGTGGTCGGCAAGCCGCGGCTCGCGAGCCACATGCGGCTCTTTACCCAGTCTAATGCGGCTCTTCTGTGTGCCGGGCGCCTGCTCCCCTCCCTCCTCTCGGTCGGCCGCTCCCCTGCCTCCTCTCGGTTGGCAGCCCCAAAAGTCCGCGCGGACCTTTTAATCCGGCCTACGGATGTGGCTGTCAGGATGTGTGTAGGCGGGGCAGCGTGCCGAACGTGAGGGGAGGGGAGCTAGGCTCCTCTCACAGTCCGCCCTGAAGACCCGAAACGGCGCGGGAAGACAGCGAGAGGAACGCAAAAGGTAAGTGAATTGACACGGGGGACTTGGCTTACTAGAAGGGGGGGGGGGAATAGTACTGTGGGGGATGAAATACTATATGAGGGGATGAATTACTTTATGAGGGATGAAATACTATATGGGGGGGGATGAAATACTATATGAGGGATGAAATACTATATGAGGGATGAAATACTATATGAGGATGAATTACTATATGAGGGATGAAATACTATATGGGGGGATGAAATACTTATGGGGGGATGAATTACTATATGAGGGATGAATTTACTATATGAGGGATGAATTACTATATGAGGGATGAAATACTATATGGGGGGATGAAATACTATATGGGGGATGAATTACTTTATGAGGGATGAAATACTATATGGGGGGATGAAAATACTATATGAGGGATGAAATACTATATGAGGGATGAATTACTATATGAGGGATGAAATACTATATGAGGGGATGAAATACTATGTGGGGGGATGAATTACTATATGGGGGATGAAATACTATATGAGGGATGAAATACTATATGAGGGATGAAATACTATATGAGGGATGAATTACTATATGAGGGATGAAATACTATATGGGGGGATGAAATACTATATGGGGGGATGAAATACTATATGGGGGGATGAAATACTATATGGGGGGATGAAATACTATATGAGGGATGAAATACTATATGGGGGGATGAAATACTATATGGGGGGATGAAATACTATATGAGGGATGAATTACTATATGAGGGATGAAATACTATATGGGGGATGAAATACTATATGAGGGATGAATTACTATATGAGGGATGAAATACTATATGGGGGGATGAAATACTATATGAGGGATGAAATACTATATGGGGGGGATGAAATACTATATGAGGGATGAAATACTATATGGGGGGATGAAATACTATATGAGGGATGAAATACTATATGAGGGATGAAATACTATATGAGGGATGAAATACTATATGGGGGATGAAATACTATATGGGGGATGAAATACTATATGGGGGATGAAATACTATATGGGGGATGAAATACTATACGGGGGATGAAATACTATACGAGGGATGAAATACTATACGGGGGATGAATTGCTATGGGGGATGAATTACTATATGGGGGATGAATTACTATATGGGGGATGAATTACTATATGGGGGATGAATTACTATATGGGGGATGAATTACTATATGGGGGATGAATTACTATGGGGATGAATTACACCATGGGGGATGAATTACACCATGGGGGATGAATTACTATATGGGAGATGTATTTTCAGTTTTAAAATGTGGCTCTCAAAATAAATTTCAATCATGGTTTTGGCGAGATTTGGCTCAGTTGAAAAAAAAAGGTTGCCCACCACTGATCTAGTGAATGGGTCTTATAAAAGCCCCAAATTACAGATTTTGTGTGTCACATCCAACAACGCCACCATCAAACCCGCCCCGCAGGCCAGAGTACTTGGTGTCATTTTGGACTCCAACCTATCCTTCCAGCCCCAAGTCCAATCTTTAACAAACTCGTGCAGACTCCACCTCCGCAACATCGCCAAAATCTGCACGTTCCTAACCCCAGAAACCACTAAACAGCTCATCCACTCCCTCATCATATCACGACTCGACTACTGCAACTTCCTCCTCACTGGCCTGCCTCGCCGCTGGCTATCCCCGCTTCAGTCGATCCTGAATACGGCTGCCAGACTCATTCACCTTTACAACCACTCCTTTTCCGCCACCCCCCTCTGCCAATCCCTCCACTGGTTTCCGATTGCGCAACGGATCAAATTCAAAATCCTAACACTGACGTACAAAGCCGTCCACCATACTGCCCCGAACTACATCACTGACCTAATATCCAAGTACCACCCAAACACACACACTCCGCTCCTCACAAGACCTCCTTCTCTCTCTAGTTCCCTGGTCTCCTCCTCCCATGTCCGCCTCCAGGACTTCTCCAGGGTGTCACCCATCCTCTGGAACTCCCTGCCCCAACCCATCAGATTATCACCTACTCTCCTCTCCTTTAGGCGCACCCTGAAAACCCATCTCTTCAGGGAAGCCTACCCCACCCCCTGCTAATTTGCCGACCTCCTCCACTCTTCCTACCACTCCATTCCCCACAGCTATCTCCTCCTGTGCCACCATCCCCTCCCTCCTAGATTGTAAGCTCGAAAGAGCAGGGCCCTCAATCCCCTCATGTTTTGCATTGTATTGGTATTGTTCTGTCACATGTTCTGTCCCCCTTTGTAATGTACAGCGCTGAGCGAACTATTGGCGCTTTATAAATACTGTATAATAATACTGTATAATAATATAAAAACCCCAATGTAAAGTTTTTATATAAAAATTTTTTTTTATATAGACCAAAGAAAAAAATATCGATATAGAATCAATATATCCTGAAGTCTATATCATCGCACATCATGAATATAGTATTAAGAATAGTTAGTTATATTGGTGTATAAAACGTTTGTACACAATTTCACTTTAATTGGTGGTTGTGGGCTGTTTCAGTTATTTACTTTATTTTGGTTGTAATTTGAGAGCGCTGTTATTGTGGTCTTTCACATTTTTTAATGTACAGTTTGTTTGCTCCTTTTAGCTTATTAACCACCTCCCGTCCAGCCGTTTATATACAACGGCCGGACGGTGGCAGTGCAGGGTCGGGTGGCTGTTTATAAACGGCCTCCCCGCACCCTGCTTGTGCTCGCTCCCTGGGAGCGCGCAGCACCACGATCCGGTGCCCGCTGTGTCTGGAACACCGTGGAACACCGATCGTCGTATTGGCCAATCGGTGATCACATGCAGAGTAGTAAGCAAGATGTCACTTCTGACATCATTGCTTACTACGTGTGAAATCTGTTAATGACCACAGAGGTCACATGGTACAAGGCTATTCACAACTGCCTTGTACCATGTGACAAGCTGTGACCAATCACAGCTCACTCAGTAGTTCTCAATGGCTGCAAGAATGCAGCTAGAGAGAAGGAGAAATGATTGCTTTTACAGCCTTTACGGGAGTAAAAGCAATCAGTGTAAAAAAAAAACGTCAAATCTTCATCACCCCCCACAAGTAGTAAAGCAGAGCTGTAGAAAAGACAAGACATCTGCCCCCCTAGGACATGAACATGATTTAGCATTTTCAAGTAGAGGGCGCATGCACCCTACCCGTGCCACCATTCGCGGCCGCCAATCGCCGGGTCCCGGCCGGTGATTACCGAGCATCACCGACGGGGAGGAGTACTGGTTTGTTTGCTAGTCCTCCTCCCTGTCAGCTCGGGCACACTGCTCTGGATGGCTGTGCACAGCACAGCCATCCAGAGCAGTGTGCTTAGTGTGAAGCACAAACACACCGCCCCCTAGTAAAACACTCCCTGCACACAGTTAACCCTTTGATTGCCACTCATGTTAACCCCTTCCTGCCCAGTGCCATTAGTACAGTGTCAGTGCTTTTTTTTTTTTTTTTTAACACCGATCACTGTATTGGTGTCACTGGCGATGTCAGTGACACAAAGTCAGTTCCCCCCAGTGTCAGAATGCCCGCTGCAGTCCCGCTGTAAGACGCTGATCGCCGCCATTACTAGTAGAAAATTTTTTTTTTAAAAATTCCAGTATCTATACCGCCATTTGTAAACGCTATAACTTTCACGTAAACCAATTATTTTACACGTATTGGGGTTTTTTGTTTTTTTTTTAGCAAAAGACATGGAGCAGAATACATTTTGGCCTAAATTTATGAGGAAATTTGAGTTTTTATTTTTTTTACGGGACATGTTTAATAGCAAAAAGTAAAAAAATATTTTTTTTCTCAAAATTGGCGGTCTTTTTTTTTCTATAGCGCAAAAGATAAAAACCGCACAGACGATCGATTACCACTGAGAGAAAGCTCTATTTGCGGAGGGAAAAAAAAAAGGACATCAACTTCGTTTGGGTGCTGCGTTGCATGACCGCGCAATTGTCAGTTAAACTAATGCAGCGCCATAACGCAAAAAATGGCCTGGTCAGAAAGGAAGGAAGGAAGGGGGGGTAAATCCTCAAGAGGGCAAGTGGTTAAACACACAACTGCTTTTTTACCACTACTATTCCTTTATATTGGCTTTTGAAATGTACAAACGCAACATTTTAGAAACTGGCTAAAAAGGATTAGCACTGTAAAACACATTCTATAGATAAATAGTACATTTTTAATTCAGGTAAATGAAGAAGACCAAAATGAGAGACAAATGAGGAGGAACAGAGGGACTTTATCCCAAATGAGAGACAGCTGGGAGCTATGCAATGAAACCTGTTGGGTAGAAGGGGAATGGTTGGAGTAAAACCAAACAGCTACTAGCTGTGATCCCAGCCTAATAGTAACAATTATTGTATTGTGTAACATTAATAATTGTGGCTATAGGTTGAAAATTTCATTTTATTTACACCATCTTACCCTGGTTTTGGGTGTTTGTTTTTCTTTCCCTTTTTCTCATCTTCTCTCTTTTTCTTCTTAATTTTGTCTCCCCTCTCCTTCATTTTCTGCATGATAAATTAGGTATTAGATCAGACTTAATCACAGAAAGGCACTCTATGTATTTCTCTTTATTTAAAATAACAAACATGCTATACTTACCTGCTCTCTGCAATGGTTTTGCACATAGCAGTCCCCAATTCTCCTCTTTTTGGGTCCTCCACCAGTCCTCCTGCCTCTTCCTCCTGAGTGCCCCTATAGCAAGCCATTTGCAATGGGGGTACTTATGCAGGCTCACGTGCCTCGCTATCTGCGTCTATTGATTGGCCTGCCCCCTCGTCAGTGGCGTGACTGACAGCAGAACGAGCCAATGGCTCTTGCTGCTGTCTATGAGCCAATGAGAAGAGAGAGCAGAGAGAGCCTCTGCTCTTGTGCACATCATTGGATCAAGATCAGGCTCAGGTAAGTATAAGGGGGGGGGGGGGCTGGGGGGAGACTATGCATTAAAGTAAAAAAACCTTCTGCCTTTAGAATCACTTTAAGAAAACTGTAACAGAACCGACCCCAGCCTGTGCTGAGTACTTCCGTTATAATACAGCTTCCCCGTCCAAACATCGACCACAGCCGACCAAACAAGACTAGACGACACCAGCCTGTCTGAACATGGAACTCTTTATTTGAAACTTGAACTGGCTTTTTTTATACACTCAGAGGGAAATCCCCCCTACCTGCATAATGACACAAGGCGGGGCAAACTACACTTAGCAACAAAAGACACACAGGCATTAAAACTTCACACCAGCAGACAGTCCCATCAGGAGGGAGGGCTGCTGGAGACCCCCCCCCCCCACTAAGCTAATACACATAAACACATACACCCATAATAATTTGCTTCCAAGCAAGACACACAATAGAACAATGGGATGCAACTACATGGCATTAAGCAATCAACAGCCCCCCACCCCAATATTAGAACAGATCACCCTGTACCCCTAACAGGCACAGGGTGACTTAAACATAAGAGGGATATGGGGAGCTGAGACAGGGGTCTCCCCACCTCTCCAAAGTGAGCTTGGTTCCATGGGCCCTCCACCCAAAGTGACTCCTGTCACAAAAATGTTGTCACTTAAAAAAACAAAACAAACAGCTTCCAAGACTAAAGTTTAAAAACACCTACAGGTGCCTTCACTTACCTGCAGCATGCTGTAATCCCCCTACACTATGGCTGAATCGGGGGCTATTCTGACTGCCAAGGGTCTGGTACTTCCTGGTAGTGTCGGAGCTTAATTGCCAGTGAGCCTGTCATATTGATGTGTCAATAGCATGGGAGGGAGGATACAAGAGGCAAACCTCGACCCTACAGGGAGTAGTGTAACTTTGCTGATCAGAATTGCCAGACATTCAAATCGCAGACACCTTCAGATAACAGCACTTTTTACCCCCCAGATTTTATGTATAGAACGCACTAAGAATTTTACTTGCAATCATTTTCAGGGCAAAGAGACCTGCTGCTGGCAACTTTCAGTGCAGAGATCCTGACACAGAGAGGGGATGTCTTGGGGGCAATTAATGATCATACAACAGCACAGTTGTTTGTAAGCAGCATGGTGATGTATTACGGCTGACTTTCAGATCCCCAGACCAGAGCTTCCACACTACACAATTTCTGTTATAGTAAAATGACTTTTTACACTGTCAAAAAAGGAAAGTGAACAGGATGAATGCACCTTTGGGGATTTCTTTTTCTTCTCTTTGACAAATTCATCCTCAGAACCCGAAGCTTGTCTGAACTGCAGTGTTCCAGAATTGATGTAAAATCCGCCATACTTTGTGGTCAGTGATGCAGGGACAAGTTCATCATACTGCAGAGAGGAAAAGACAAGCAATTAGGCACTGTACTCCACATCTAAACACTTATTTGTGCTTTAAGACTCCATGCACACTAGTGTTGTTTTAAGCTTCTAGAAGCTATTATCTAGTGGTGCACCAAAATTAAAATTCTGGTGCCGAAACAGATACCGAAAATTCTGAATGCATGTGGACGAAAACCGAACCGAAATCGAAAGGTTTGCGTATGTGGGGGTGGTGGGTGACGTCATTGCGCCGACGCCGGCAGGGTGAAGCTGCGCTCCTCGCGGCTGTGGAGAGGTTGTTGCGGCCAACCTGAGTGGGGACAGGCCTGTCCCGACTCACTAGTTTTGCAGATGTTGATTGGAGTATTTTCAGGCCTTTCTGGGGGTATAAAAACGCCATTTTGAAAGTCTATACCGCTTATGCAGCCATTGCGATGCCTTGCCTCAGCAGACCTGGTTTGGACAATTTTTAAATTCCTTACCACATCAGTGCTTCTTAGATATTATCACCTGTATTTGTTATAGGCATATACTGGAATACCAGAAAGATCTTTTTCCCTATGAGATTTTGGATGCCAAGTCATTTATTCATTTCAAGCGCTCCTTGCCACTTTTTGCACCCCCAGTAAGTGCTCCTTTTTCCAATCCGCTCCTGGGTTTTTATTGATTCTTCGGTATATATGTATCTATTTATTTCAGGTACTTCTATAGCGCCATAAATTTACACACACACATATACAATATATCTATATATAATATATATATATATATACATAACATATTTTATATATATACACACACACACATATATATATATATATATATACATACACACACATACACAATAATATATATATATATATATATATATAGTTATACACACACATATATATATATATATATATACACACACCAACACATATATATATACACATATATATATATACACACATACACACACACACCACACATACACACACATAATATTATATATTCATATAGTACATATATATATGGAGTGTACATATATATAAATCATATATATAATACATATATAGGGACACATTTAGAAGGAGCCCACACACACACACAGGCACGTCTTTATATACATACACATACCGGACGTACATGGAGGGAATACACACCACACACACACAACACACACTCCAGGCAGGTGGTGCGTGGTGGGTGGGATTCGAACCATCAGTCCATAGTGCCTCAAGGAAGTGTAACAATCTAAGGTCCCCAACTCACATTCCATACATTACACATACTAGGGACAATTTAGACAGGAGCCAATAAACCTACCAGCACGTCTTTGGAGTGTGGGGAATGGAAACCGGAGTATATGGTGGAAAACCTCACCAGACACAGGGAAAATGCAAACTCCAGGCAGTGGTGCGGTTTTGGGAAAGGACCCCATCAGGAACGACCCTAAAAAAAAAAACTTCGGAAGTCGCTAAAAAAAAATCAAAAAAATAAATAATACAATTAAAAAAAAAAAAATAATTTAAAAAAAAAAAAAAAAAAAAAAAAAATAAAAAATAAAAAAATAAAAAAAAAAAATTTTTGGTTGCCCTTATAATGGTTGAGGGTAATAACCCCTCCAGGAATAACTCATGGAACACATATGTCTTTTTCTTGTTTTCTCTCTCTTTTTAACATCTGTCGGGTATGTTAGGATTATGGGAATCACTGGCGCTATAATTCACTTATTAACCTCATAAAAACTGATTATGTCAGCATTTCTGGGGTGCTCAAAGCAGTACTTAATTTTGCATGGAAATAGTCAATATTATTATAATCAAACTAGGAAAAACTGGAAATCTGTTGAAAATAGCGCCTAGTTCGCACATCCCGTGAGCAAAGTACAAATTTGAAACACGTGTCTGAAATTATAAATTTAATAAATCATAACGAATAAAATTATAATAATATTATAAATAATTATAAGGAATAATCAATAAAATAATCCAAACCAGTACTAGTTAACAATCCGGGTAAAAATTTGAAACACGAAAACTTAAATATAAGAAACCAAATTATATTAATAAAACATCGCTGAGCAAAGTCACAAGAATTCGTTTTCAGTGCGAGCAAAGTCACAGAATGAGGAATTGAATTTCCTCTCCCCACGAATCATTATCACTCAATTCTGCAAGTGTGGTTCTGATTTACTATCGCTGTTTCTAGCCGGTCTAAAACCACTTTTGACCTAAAGGGACGCTTTTTGAACGCCATGGACGTTTCTCAGTTTCCAGGCAGATAAGAACAGTAAAAATGCAGGCAGGGCGCCGGACAAAATGTATGTGAAATGGTTTGTTTTTTTTTGATACAGGAATGTTATAACTATGTGATTTTAGTGTATTTAGTGAATGTCACTTTTTGTCATTTTCAAATTTCCCCCCCGTTCCGTCCCCTGTACAAAGCAGTCTCAGGGAACGGAACCCGGAAGACAGATGCCGGCATCGGCCGGAGGACATTACAGGGGACACCGCAGGGGGGACATCGCGGAAGCAGATCCCGCACCATTGGCAGTCTTTTCTATACACTCTGCCCTGAATGGGGCCATGTAAGTGTACAATTATGTCCTATCAGAATGTAATTATATTGTCTGTTGTATCCACACAAGATCTGAGATATATATTGATATGTTTATTATAGGCGTCATGTTTTCTGAGCACATCTGAAGGATTACGATTGGTCCCAAAATGCGCCAAGTGCAATTACATGTATGACTCATCTTTGCCTATTCATTGTATAATCATGTCTGGTGTATTAAAAAAAAAAAAAAAAAAACTAGTAGCAATATTCTTTAATGCAGCTCTGTATTAGTACATGTAAACCCAACATTTCATATTCCTAATATGTGCCCACTATACGATGTACATGTATTGAAAAGCCTCCTGTTTTGTTCTCTTTGTATTGCTTCCTTTGTGTGAATTCCCTGGTGTTCCTGCCAGTCCCTCTGCTTCCTATCAAACACTGACCACACTAGGCATGGGAGCACAGCGTGGTCAGTTCTCTGGCTATTCTGGGAACTCAGTCTGCTCTCCTCCAACGATTAGGCTTGTGCTGATAACCCCCACCCCCTGCACAGCCTTTTACTGGGAAGACCAGTGTACTGTACTGCTCCTCTCCCAGCTCTTATGCAGCTGAGAACAGAGAGAACGTGATCATTTCTAAAGTGGGGGAAAAAAAAAAAAAAAAAAAAAAAAATGTAGATCATGCTTTTTTTTTTTTTATATCTATACAAAATGTTTTGACTTTCGTTTCTATTTTAAACTTGAGTTTTAAAAGGGGAGGGTTTACCATCACCTTAATGTGTTTATCTGCATAGAGTTCATCTTTAAGTCTGGCTTTTTGTACAGACAAGTCTAAACTACTACTTACAGCCTCAGAGTTGTCAATGAAGGAGTCAGAATCATCGTAGCCATAGCCCATGTCTATCAGATCCTGCATGCGGTCTTTCCTCTTCTTCTTGTTGCTCTGGAAAGTAATAAAGCATAAAAACAATAACTAACCACACAGTTTACATGGCTCCTTCCTGCCTGCAGCTGCTTTACAGACAAATGTGTTTTTAGATTTAAAATTTGTTCAGAGTCCACTTTTTGTTTAACCACTTCCTGTGACGGGAGCGCTGCCGATGCGGGTGGACGTTTCTAAACGTCCCCCCGCATCCATTGCCTGTGCGTACCCCCTGGGAGCACGGGCACTGCGGTCCGGAGCCCGCTGTGTCGGGAGCACAGATCGTTATACAGGACCTCTGTGTGAGGTCTTGATTCATGTAATCACTGATTGGCCAATCAGTGATTACATGAACAGTAGTAAACCAGATGTCACTTCTGACATCATTGCCTGCTACTTGTGAAATCTGAATGATCAAAGAGGTCACATGGTACAAGGCTCTTCACAACAGCCTTGTACCATGTGACCAATCACAGCTCACACAGTATTTCTCAGTGGCTGCAGGAATACAGCCAGAGAGGAGAAATGATTGCTTTTACATCCTTTATGGGTGAAAAGCAATCAGTGTATGTAAACAAAGAAAAAAAAAAAATCTTCAAATCACCCCCCACAAGTAGTAGTGTCACTATGGTGACACTCTACTGACAAGGTGACAGTAGGTTTAAAAAAAAAAAAAAAAAAAAAAAAAAAAAAAAACCACACTTTTGAAAAATTATAATTTTTGGTTATTAAATAAATTTGGGTTATTTTTTAGAATGAATACATTTTGGCCAAGATTTATGAAGAAAGATTATTTATTTAAAAATAAAATAAACTTTTTTTTTCAAAAATGTTTTGGATTATTTCATTTATATAGCAAAAAAATAAAAAATTCCATTGGTGAATAAATACCACCAAAATAAGGTTTTATCTGTCTAAAAAAAAAAAAAATGCTAAAAATGTCATATGCGTGTTGCATGACCGTGCAATTGTCATTCAAAGTGTGATAGCGCTGAAAGCTGAAAATTGGCCTGGACAGGAAGGGGGTGAAAGTGTCTGGACTGGAAGTGGTTAAAGAGCAATGCAGAGCTCAAATACAGGGCGATAGATATTGTTTTCTTTTTTTAAAACTGAACTGGTATAGGTACGCTTTTCGGTTATTCGGCAGAAGAAAATCTATCCTTCCTTGCATACTCTAAATCAGTAGGTGGTAAATAGACAACCCAAGGTCGGTGGAGCGGCTTACTTCAAGGTCATGCGCACGGGCTGAGTAAACGCTGGCAGGGAGAAGAGGCTACAATGGGTGATACAACTACAACATCCTGAACATTCACCAAACTCCTCAGTTATCTGCTGAGAAAGGACTATCTTCTTTCCCCTGGGAGCGCTGCACCAAGGACGATGCCACAACAGGATTTCAACATGTGTGTGAATTGTAGCAGTACTGCAGCATTCTCCTACATAAAGGACAGTCAGACACAGTGCACAGTCTTTCACACTGGAATACTGCACAGATCTGGAAG